GTCGCAGCGGAAGTGCGTTCAATACATAGCTGGATAGAAATATGGAGGTTTCCTACAATGGGGGTACCCAAAATGGATTTCTTTTTCCGCCTTTGACTTTTGTGCTGTGTGACAGCGGTAGAGACAACCAGCTACGCGTGAAATCCCCACCAAGGTACCCCAAAACGGATGGTTCAGAATGGAAAATCCGATAATCTATAACATCTCCAAACTGAATTCCAAAAAATGATATACTGCACCCGCAATGAACATACTTTTCTTGGGAACTTGAAGATGTCAGGAGCACCCGCCCAAAGAACCGCTTCTTCAAGCGCCAGCCGCTCAGTCCCCTGCAGCTGCCATCTGTGCTTTGAAAGGAAACTCAACGGGGAAGCATGGCCTTCATTCTTCATGATACAATATGAGAAAATACAATGGTCTGCTTCATCTTTTGGGAATCAGGGGAATCAGCACACTGTGAAAATTCAATCAAACAGCTGACAATGTGGCAAATCCAAATGCACTTCCAGGCTTCCGGCTTCTGAGCACTTCCAGCAGCTGGAGCAAATAACCTCAAACAGTAATCCAAAAGATCTGGCCGCTCTCTGGCCCTCTGGCGGCTCTCAAACCCTCTGAGTTGCACGCCCCACATGATGTAGTGCCAAGGCAGCTATCTGGAAGCGCTTCTTGAGGCCCTCACGGAAAAAAAGCAGCTGGAGAACGACCCATCGTATCAACCTCCATTTGTTCTCAATTTCGTTGAAAGCACCAACCAACACATGGTTGTACAGTATATGGAGGTTTCCTAAAATAGGGGTACCCCTAAATCATCCTTTTTAATTGAATGTTCCATTATAAACCATTGGGGTACCGCCATTTTACAAACCTCCATATGATAGGACCTTACCAAAATGTGCTGTTTTTTTCACTCTGCCAAAGTCTCAGTACCTGCAACTCCTTTTCTTTCTCTCCACCTTTGGACTTTGGTGCCTTAGCTCTCGGACGGAGTTGGCTCAGTTGGGGATCATTGTCAATGGAAAATCGTGGAAAACTGATACTGTGATTTGAAACCACCAGGCAGTGATGATCTCAGTGATGAAGCATGAAAAATTGGCAAAAAATCATAGAAATTCCCCACATCTCGAGGAAGTACATGTCTCGACTCCCAAGTCTTGGACCTTCATCACTTCTGCACCGAAATCGCTGACCAACTGAGTGAAGGTATACCAAAGCTCTGCAACTTTCACCTGTCGTCCAGACGTACATTCCAAGATCCTTAGCCCAGGTCAGAACGAGAAAAACATGTGAGGTCACCAAGATCACTGTTGGTGTCAACATCAAGAACAAGCCTATGTCATACAAATCCAAATCCAATCACTGTGTCTTGAGAGAGTCTGAAATGGAGTTCTAAGTGTCTTTTTCGTATTTTTGGGTCAGAACCCTGGTCAATATAGCAGCAACCCATTTCAAACATTCCTTGTTGGGATCTTCACCTAGCCATGGGGATTTGCAAAGTGCAAACCATTTTTCCATGCTTCATGGGACTTCCAAACAGTTGTTCCTAGATGTCCATCTCTCCAACAATGTCCAGAAAAACACAATTGCTGTTGCAACGAATCATATCGTCCCGATTTTAGATTCTTCAAGTCATTATATAATTTCGTTGTGTCCGAAAGTAGGGTACCCACAAATTCATTGCTTAACCATAGTTATCCATATTAGAATGGCCATTTGGGAAGGTATTACCCCATTTTCAGACACACCCAAATATCATATTGGTCAATGAAACATGGATACCCATTATAACAACCCAAAAGATGCCGAAAAAGTCTTTCCACGATGTTAGTTCGATGATGCTCCCTCCAATAACCTCCAGGTGTCCAACTTTTCACGCACTCTTGAGGGGTCGCCGGGTCGCTATGGTGACTGCGGTTTATTGCGGTGACTGTTGTGTCTGCCAAACTGTAACCATACTAGTATGTACTATTGTATAGTAAAGTATAGTAAATATGTAATATCATGGGATATTCAATATACTTTAGTAATTGTAGATATAGTAATTGTACTACTTTTTTTTACTGGAATATTCATGGGATACCCATGAATATGGAACGGTCACTCGGAACCGTAACTCGGATCGCCCAGGTGCTGATACAGCCGCGTGCGATCTGTCTCAGCCTAAGTCATGGTCTAATCACTGGATGATTTGGGGGAATATTTTAGGAAACCTCCGCAGATAGCATATTAATACATTATGTTATATACATACATATATACATATGTATATATATAATATAATATATATAATATATATTTAAATACATGAGTTGATTAGGACTATATTAAATTCGCCATGTTTTTGTCGATTCATCAGATGGAGGTTTCAGCAGCATGTGGTGGAGATGGTGGTAAGCTCTTTCGCAATGAAAAAATAAGTAATGACAAGAGGAAGAAGCAGGCGTAAACAATGGCCATAATGATGACAATAAAAATGATGATTACAATACTGCTGATAATAGTGATAATGAAATGACAGCAAGAAGAAGAATAAGTGCTAGTATCATAAATGTATTTAATACAAAAGAACATTATTTTACTAATCAACCATACTTGTTTTTGCTGACGTCGTCCGATACGGCCTCGGGGAATTCATGCATTTTTGTACGATGCACGTGATCATGGGGTTGGGTCTGGGGTGGGGCTGCAATGACGTTGTGATGTGATGTAAGACATGTTGTGATGTTACGCCAGAGATGGGGTTGGGTCTGGGGTGGGGTTGCAATGACGTTGTGATGTGATGTAAGACATGTTGTGATGTTACGCCAGAGATGGGGTTGGGTCTGGGGTGGGGCTGCAATGACATTGTGATGTGATGTAAGACATGTTGTGATCTTACGCCAGAGATGGGGTTGGGTCTGGGGTGGGGCTGCAATGATGTTGTGATGTGATGTAACACATGTTGTGATGTTACTCCAGAGATGGGGTTGGGTCTGGGGTGGGGCTGCAATGACGTTGTGATGTGATGTAAGACATGTTGTGATGTTACGCCAGAGATGGGGTTGGGTCTGGGGTGGGGCTGCAATGACGTTGTGATGTGATGTAACACATGTGGTGATGTGATGTAAGACGTCTAGATATTTCTGATTGTCTGGAATTTATGAATATGTATATACATATATATATATATGTGCATGTGCGTGTTTGTCAAGTCACATATATATATATATATATACATTTATATATGTATATAAGAATCAGTGTACATGTCCAAGTATGCAAGGTATGTGTCTATGTCTGGTCTATCATGTATGCAACACGATCCTAACATAGTCCTGGCTTCCATGCGGTTTTTTTTCGTTGTTTTGCACATGGACGTGTAAAACCCATTGTGAATAGCACAAAATGGACACAAAGTGCTGTAAAACGTAAGGCATTTGAACATGGCGCAAAATCCATGGTGAGAGAAAGTGCCATAGGGGTTGTCGAAATAGCAAGTTGTTTGTTGTCAAAACAAGCAAAATCAGCGGGACCGCAACGGACGACGTTACCTTGTTTTTGGCATGTTGCTGATCTGCCGTTGTTGACATGTCGCACACGCTCGTGTATGCTCAACAAGGGGGGTGGGAAAGGGCTTCGCTTAGTGCGGTCAATCCGCACTTGCTTAGTGCGGTGAAAAAAGGAATGGATGAGCCGGTGACGGATTGCACTTAAAACATGAAAATCATAAATTCCTAATGTTTTTTAGCACTTGAACAGGCGAAACACATTTTTTTTAACTTGAGTCACACGCCTGCCATTCGAAATGGATGTCCATGTTGCAAACTTTTTTGAACAAGTCCCACAAATACCAGTTTTTTGTCTCTTAGCCTCGAGATCTCAATTTCAGATTTGTCACCCTTACAAGGGCGGGGAGTCAACTGGTTGCCTTGTTTTTGGTGATAAACTTGTCTAAGAAAGACAGGTTGGATGGCTAAACAGTCAATGATTAACCGGTATCGATGAGGTGTTGGTGGTGCAATGTTTTGATGGTTCGTCCAAATCAGCTATCCATGCCAGTTGAGAGCAAGACATTCTCGATGGGAACTGAAGCGGCCAAATGCTGCAGTCTGACCTGCAAGCGCGTGTTTATTGGTATGTCTGGCAATGCCATTGAAACATAATTAAAGGACCGGATAACCCCACAACACAATTTCCTCCAATAATAAGCACCAAATGTTGTAGCGGGGATGGGGAAGGAAGGAAAAACAAAGGAGGTGGTGGAGGATCGAGAAGTAAAACAAAATTGTGTGTGACAAAGTTGTATGTGAAAGCTGGTGTGTGACAAAGAAAGATGGTGTCTGGTGTGTTTTTGTGTGTTTTTGTGTGTTTTTGTGTGTTTTTGTGTGTTTTTGTGTGTTTTTGTGTGTTTTTGTGTGTTTTTGTGTGTTTTTGTGTGTTTTTGTATGTTTTTGTGTTTTTGTGTGTTTTTGTGTGTTTTTGTGTGTTTTTGTGTGTTTTTGTGTGGTTTTGTGTGGTTTTGTGTGGTTTTGTGTGTTTTTGTGTGTTTTTGTGGTTTTGTGTGTTTTTGTGTGTTTTTGTGTGTTTTTGTGTGTTTGTGTGTTTTTGTGTGTTTGTGTGTTTTTGTGTGTTTTTGTGTGTTTTTGTGTGTTTTTGTGTGTTTTTGTGTGTTTTTGTGTGTTTTTGTGTGTTTTTGTGCGTTTTTGTGTGTTTTTGTGCGTTTTTGTGCGTTTTTGTGTGTTTTTGCGTGTTTTTGTGTGTTTTTGTGTGTTTTTGTGTGTTTGTGTGTGTTTGTGTGTTTTTGTGTGTGTGTGTGTGTGCGTGTGTTTTGCTCACACACCTTTTCAACTGCAAAGGTCTTGTGCCAGCCTCAGCAAATTTGCCGGTTCCAGAGGAATCTTTGGCTGAACCTTTGTACATTTGCCTCTCAGTTATCTTCTCGATTTGTGCCGGTCATGGCTCATCCACTGAAGAGAAGAAGGAGAAATTCATCCAAAGGAGAAAAATGTTGTCAAGCTTTAATGTCACGTCGTGGTGCTGGATGGCGCAATCGATGTTTCAGCAGTGGATGTTCGAAGCAGCATTAAGAGGTTCTCCTCCAGTGCCTCCTCTGCTTCAGGTTCAATCACAGTGGTCTCTGTGTCGCAATGATATCCCGGCAGTCGCAAGCTGTCTGCACGCATGAGCCATAACACATTCAAATTTTGTTTGAGAGTATTTGGAACTTCCCAAACAGGTTTTGGCTTGCAATGATCTTGAGTGATCAGCCATTGTACTGCGCAGGAGGAGGAAATCACAGCAGGTTGTACCTTAAGGATCGCCTGATAATGGCCAGCGGCGTCAATGCCCAAATGGGCCGCAGCCGCAATCAAAACATATTCTGCTGTTGCCTGGTGCAATGTATCCTCAACAAAGTGCGGGATTGCAATTCCAGTGTCAACATCAATGGCGCAACTGCTTTTCTCAATCTGTCCGGAGGTGGAGACCAGCCTATCCACGTGAATGCATATAATCTTGGCAGCCTGCAGCATTGCGGCTCTCATCCCATCAACCTGACACCAGTGCTGCAGCAAATCTTCAAGTGTGCAATTGGTCTGAAATGCAAGGTTTGCAGGGATTTGCAAGAACAATGGCATGCATGCTTGGCTTTGATCTGATACAATTGTGCCCGCGTCTGTTTCGCAACGTCGATGCCAGCTCATGTCAATTGCTGGTGATGAAACCCACTGCAGCAAAATGTGAACAAACTCGCTGCAGTCCTGCTGGGCAGGTGTGCGCCCCAAATCTTTGAGCAGGTGTGCAAACCAAGGAAGGTCAATCAATTGAACTTCATGATTCAAACTGTTTTGCAAAAGTTGCATCAAGTGCTCAAAGCGTGGTCCCCAGGAAGAGGCATCAGCAGGCTTCAGGCTAAGCAAAGCCCACAAAAGGCAATACAGCGTCACATTGGCAAAACACCAATTGCTATCATTTGCAAACGTCAGTGCAACAGCCAAATTGCACAGAGAGCAAATCTCAGACTCAGTCAAGCGGTGCCCCGGGTCTTGTTGTGGTTCTTGCCTTTCCCATGGCCCTTTGTCTTGGGCATCATGTTCCTTACCTGGGTGGCCAGGCTGCTCGGTTTGGGTGAGTGAGGTCGCAGTGTTGCTCCCATCAGCAGCCAGATGGAGGAGTGGCAAAGTTCCAACAGCAGCTCGGAGGGTCTGGCGCTCCTCATGTTGAGTTGAAGCTTCCAGGGCATCACTGTTTGGGCCTGGCTCGTCTGCAGGCTCTGGAACTTGAGCACCAGGCCAGGATCCCGGAAATCCTGGATCAGCTCCTCCAGGTGCTGCAGCATTTTCGGCATTGTGACAGACTTCTTCTTGTCCACTACCAGAGCCTTTTGTTCCGCATTCCAACGTAGGTACGGCCAGCTCAGATCCTCCAGCAGCAACCTCTTGTCCAGACAAGCCTGGAGGACTGGGTCCCCTTGCTTGCACTTCGAAACCTTGGTGGCACGGTTCAGCAAGTCTGTCAGCATCCATTGGCTCAGGTGCTGTCTCAGCGGGGTTTGGAGCTGCTGGGGTCCCTGTTGGCGTTGTTGCGTCCATTTCTTGGTCTCGGCAATGAGCCCCTGCAGTGTTCCCCCCTCCTCCGGCTGGAAGAAGAGGATAAAAGAGTCTGTGCTTTGCAAGACGCTCAAGCTGTGTTCTTGACGCAGAGCCATCAGCCCCAGAAGCTGAAGGTATCTCATCAGGTTGAACTGGGGGTCGTGCTCGGGCTGATCTGGATCTGCTTGTTGCCCCTTTTGTTGATCTGTGCGGCGCTGCTTCGGTGCTCTGGGATTTGGTGTCAGTGCCAGGCCCTTGTCCAAGATCGGCTGAAGAAACTGGAATGTGTCTCTGATCTGTCCCAAGGCTCCCTCGTCCCAACCACTCATGACCAAGTCGCCCTCCATTGAGGGCAGTACCAAGCAGAAGGGTGCACTGCAGCAGCACCGGGCAATTGCCACGTAGGTGGACTTGAACCAGTTCCAATCTCCCTGCTGCAGAGGCATCTGAAGGTGTCAGAGCTGGCAAGTTGAAAATTTGTCCACATAACGTGCAGCAGTGGTCAGGCTGAATCTCATGCATCAAGATTGGGAACAGTGCTTCATTGTAAAAATCAGCAAAGCGGTGACCAATGACATGGGCCTCATGGAGGTGTCTGCACAGCAACCCTGGATGATGTTCTTGGCCGCACAGAACACACCAGGAGCGCAGGATCTGCTTCATGGCCTGGTCAGTCCACAAGTCTGAAAATGAGCGGTCAATGAAAACTCGAGCAATTCTCTGTTTGATGTCATCAGGAATTGAGTGATGCACCATCTGATGTATGACAGCATCAGGAATCTGCACCGGCATGAAAAGTCCACTCTGCAGGCGGTGGAACATCATACCAATCTGCCTCAACGGCAAGCAAATGTGATTCTGGCGCTGTTGATGGATTTGAGGGTTGCATACACATCCTCGTCTTGCAAAAACCAGATCCACCAAAATCAACGTGACCCCTTGAGATGCACGCCATAACCTCGAATGGCAGGTCATGAGATGGTTGGCAAGGTCACCAGCACGGGTGTAGGCCTGTGCACATTGTTGGCACCGGATGCTCAACTGGAGCCTACGCATTGGAGGCTGCAAATGTTCAAGCAAACATCCATGAAGGCAAATGTCCAGCCAGTCCTTCGTGATCGGAGTGGTCTCGGCAGTAGCTTCAGGGTTGAAGCTGGGGCAATGGCCTCTGGTTATGTGAGTGCGCAACCCCTCCATCGAGGTATGTACCGAGCCGCAGTGGGCACAGGCCGCCTCAGAGTTCAAGCTGTCTCTGGCTACATTGAAGGAAATGCCTGCCAAGTTATGTTGTTCCTGAAGATGTTGTGTCAGCTGAGCAGCATCTGTGAAGGGTGCCAAGCAGATGTCGCAACGGTGCGTTGGTGCCACTTCCATGGGTTCAGGCTGCATCAGTCCTCCGCCGTTCAAGACAATGACAGCAATTTGAGTCCAGACTGGGCACTGGTGCTTTCTGAAACATCCCCCACAATGTGGGCAAGGGCTTTCAGAACTGTGAATGTTGGTGAGCATCATTGCCTTGCTGGGTACATTGGTCCAGTGCGCAGCATGTTCAGTGCGATAGTGAAGGTTCATGTCCTGTGTACGTGACAGCTGCAATCCACAAAGGAAGCATTGCTTGGAGAGGTACTGGCAAGCCTCCCATTCATGTTCCAAATTGTGCAAAGTGTCAGTGGCAATCATATGCAAAACACTGTCGCCCCAGGATTTGCTACGCAAGAGGTCCAGGTCGGTTGCTGTCAAGAGGCGTGTGCCTGTCGAATGGGTCTGGCTGCTTTGAGATGGAGTGCTGGACATCATTGGCAGCACAGCAGGCTTCTGGAGGCAGAAATCTGGGCCAGGCTGTAGCACCTGGCAACCGCGTTCCAGGTGGGTTCGAAAACTACGCCAGGAACTGAATATTTTATGACAGTGCTTGCATTCAGGTAAACCATCTATGGCATGAGAAGGCAGGGAAAGATTATGGGTCCTATACATGGGGGCATTATGCATGGTCGTGCAGTGGCTTCGAAAAGCTGATGCATGGTTGGTGCAAAAATTACACAACGCACAATGGTACAGGAAATCTTGGCTGGGAACCTCGGCAGAGAGTGCAGTCTCAGCACGATGACGTGCAAGATTGGCCTGGGCTTCATGTATCAGCATCTTGCAGGTGGCAAGATGTGTCCAATCCAGTGTGCATGCAATGTCATCAGGCTGCAGGTGTTCAAAACGCTGGGAAACAGACCGCTGGAGGGTTTCAACAGCAGCAGTCAAAATGGCGGCAGGTGCAGGGAAATCAAACAATGCAAAAACATAGTCATGGGATGTCATGGGTATGACCTGTATGATATGGATGATCGCCTGCAATGGCTCGAAGCATTTTGCAAATATGGATGATCATGTGTTGGGCCCCTCTTTGGGTAATGCCGACAGCAAAGACACCGTAATGCATTATTGGCAAAATGCAGGTTTTCCAAAGCTGTAGCCTATGCTGTCTGGAAAACTGCTTGTTGCAGAGCCAACGCCGCATTCTGGAGAAGCCAATCTGTGCAAGTCGAACTCTATGCCAAGTGGTGGAGTCAGCAAAATGCTTGTAGCTCATGATGCATCCTAAATAAATGGTTGATTTTTTGATAGGCACCAATGTCACAGTGTTGCCAACCGGGATTTTGATCCTCTCGCCATGCTGATCTCGTTGCGTGTGCAAGGCACGCATTTTGCGGCTCTGGGAGCCAGTCATGTGCAGGATGGCCACGGATTTCTGTGGATTCAGGCTCAGGTCAAATTCAGCCAGCAATTCAAAGAGCATACCAATGCACTCTAATAAAAGTTGAAGGTCTTGACAACTCCTGAAAACACCTCCTACATGAAAATCGTCGGCGTAAATTGTGAGGTTTTCCTGAATCCAATTTATGGGGACCCGGTCTCTGAGATCATGCACCAGCAAAAGTGTCAGGCAGTTCCACAAAAATGGGGCGCCCTTGCATCCCTGACGCAATCCTTTATTTACTTTCACAGCTGTTGTTTCCCCCCCATGTGTCACATAATACGAAGTATCAACATGCCAGCACTGAAGTATTTGGACAATATTGGGGGAAATATTCAGTTGGTGAAGTCGATGGAAAAGGCGCCATCTGTTGACACTGTCAAAAGCCCTTTCAAGGTCAAGAAACAACTGTAGTCCACCACAACATAGAAAACGAGGTTGTAATGAGGCTCGGGAATGTGGGGTGGATTTTTGTGTCTCAAGAAGGGCTTGAACCTGTCTACAATGGGCAGCCACTTTGGCCAGCGGGTCTTGGGTCGATCTGCCAGCACGAAACGCCCAGATGGGCCAGCATCGGAACTCAGCATCTGCCTGGGCAGCAGCAATCTGAATGAGCAGCCCAAGGACCGCCTTGCCCAGAGGGCATTGCATGGCTAACGGTCTCAAATTGCAGGGTTGAACTGGAGGTTTCGTCGGTTTGGGGATCAATTGCAACCAGCCCGATCGCCACTGCTCAGGAATCCACGGCTGGCGAGTGCCCCACCATTGTGTCAAAATGGCATGAAGCAAAGGAGCAATGGTAGTGGCCAATGAGTTCCAGACTATACCAGGGGCACATGGTGGGGCCACAGCCTTACATGAGGGAATCCTACTCAACGCAGAAGCTAACTCACCAATGTCAAAGGGGACTCCTGGAGGCTCATCACATGTGAAAGCTGGCATGGGTGTTCCCGCCCAAGTAGTCTGAACAAAGCTGATCAACAAACTACGCTCCTCTGAAATGGTCATCAAGGCACCATGATCATTCCTCAATTGCATACGGCGTCGTGGCACTTTGGGGGAGTGTCGGTTGATAATGTCAAACAGCTTTCTGGTGTCAAAATGCAAGGCTGCAGCATGGGCTTCCTGCACTGTCTCTGCAAATCTCTGGCGTCTCAACTGCATTGCATGCCTACGATGTGTCTTATGAAGGGAAAGAAAACGCATGACATGAAACCATCCATGAAACAAGTTGCGCAAGTCACAGGTTTTCAAAGAAGTAGCAAGTCTGCGATGTTCCCATTTGGTCAAAACATGTTCATTGGCTTGCCAGGGGTCAGGTTTCGAAACAGCACTTGCCGCAGGAAAAGCTTTCGTATATTCTTGCATGGCAACAACATGTGTTTGGCTGAGTTCAGGAAGGTCTGAGTTCAGAACCTGGTCCAATTGGTCAGTCAAAGGTCCAGCGCAGGCAGCCAAGAAATCATGCCAGTCAGGGCTGTCTGCCAATTTGGCCAGGCGGCCACGCTCACGTTGATTCGGGGTCAGGTTGAGTTTGGCATGAGGCGGTGGGATCCAATACAATGCCAAATTGAACAAAATTGGGGCATGGCCTGAATTGCCTTTTGGGACAAAAGGGGCATTCCATAAGTATTGAACTTGTCTGGCTCGCCCATCAGCAAGCTGTGATCGCGTGCATACGTAATCAATTCTGCTATGATTCTGCAAATGCACAAACGTAGGCCCCAGTTTGCTGTTCCATGAGTTCAAAACTACTAGTCCTCCATGTCTTAAAACCTGAAGAAAACGTGAACTGTCAGGGTGACATGTCCCGACGGCCTGCTGCTGGTTCCAGGTGTAGGAGCTGGGACCACTCACGCCAGCGGAAGTGGGCAGGGAGCAATTAAAGTCTCCCATGAGTGCAACTGTGTTCCGTCCAGGTAACATGGTCAGTTGGGTTTCCAGCGTCTGCCAGAATTTGTCCCTTTTTTGGAGTTGCTCCTTATCCTTCTTGTACACATGTTGGTAGCATCCCAAGATGTCCAGATTTCTGGTTGCATTCATGACACGCACATGGACAAGCCGACCTGGGATGATCTCGTTCCAGCGCAAGTCATTGGAATGGCACAGCGATCTGGATATCAGGATCAGGACCCCCGACCCACGGTGATTGGGATCTGCACTGTGTATGTGATGCCAGGCATTGTCACTCCAGGTGGACTGGAAGGACCATCGGGTCTCGGTCAAAACTGCTACTTGGACCTGTTGCAAACAAAGCCAGGTTTTGATTTCGTCCAATTTGGATGAGGCAAGGCCCCCACCGTTCCAGCTTAGGCACGTAAGGCGTTTTTTGGGTTTATTATGGCTATGACAGCTCATAACATCTTGGATTCTCGGAGCCTGTGCCATTGCATACGTCGGCGGCATCCCCATCTTTGCAAAGTCAGCAAGGGTCAGGCACTTGCCACGGTACCAGGTCATTCCAAAACACTCTGCACGGCGCTGAGCACGAAGGAGACTGCGCTTGACAACTTTGGAGGCTTGTCGTAGGTTCAGCGCCATTGGCGTGCTTACGCACATTTCAGGCTGCGGTCCATGTTGCTTCACGTCAGGTAGGCTTTGCAAGATCTGGGTCCAATCTGGTGACGTTTCAGCATTCCCCATGGCAGGAATGCAACCCTCGCTCCTACCTACATCCATGATTGCAGTCTGGCAGGCAAGTCCAAGCCAAATGAAAAAAAGGATCGGATGTAGGTGCCTGGAATTGGGACCAGGCCTGCAGCTCTGAGATACCGGATGGAGGAATGCACTCAATCCCGTCCGAGCTAGCCGCAGTTGTTTCCAAAACTGTATCCAAAAACCGTTCACGCAATGCAGGAAAATGCTGGCCGAGAAATAAAATGCTGTCTGTGCCAAAATTGTAAAATTGAATAAAAGAACCAACTGCAATCTCAACTCAAGGGCCCAAGCAAATGCCAGCAGGAGAAGGAGATGCAGTGAATGGCCAATTGTAAAGAAGCCAAATTGTGTACTCTGATTGTGTGGACCGTCGCTGCCGTGCCAAAGCACTATGTGCAGAAAATTACCAAAATAATGAAAAGGTTGATTACAACGGGCCAGTGAGAAAAGGAGGGAGCCCACCCCTGAGGTTCTTGCAATCCAAATCACAATAGCACAAATCAGAAAAATTAGAATGTCTGCTTCCACCTGGTTTGATCTTGTCGTCCAATTGTCAGGAGGATGTCCCCTGCGCTGCCACACTGGAAAGCAAGTACTGAAAATGCTGAATATCAGGGCCAGAAAAATCTGCTGGGAGCCCACCCCAATAAACCCGTGTTGTATCCACTGAATTGGTTGCAGGATCCGAGTCAATGAGGATTGTCTCACAGCGTCAACTGGACTTCTCTGCAAAACTCTCTGAGTCAGGTAGTCAGGACAAAATGTACCCCTTCCAATAGCAAAAATGATCCAGAAAAACCACAGCTTAATCGCAGCACCTGTACTCGAGCACAGGGCACAAGCAGCCAGTGAGGAGGCAGGATTCCAAGGAAAATCTGGAGAGCTGTCAGCAAGGGAGTCCACGCTTTGCAAATGAAAATGGGGTTGTTGTTTGAACCGTTGCAAATTCAAATTCACTGGGCCAGTCAGAGCACGGGAGCCCACCCCACCGTAAGTTCCACGACAGCAGCGGTGTCCGTCAATTAAATTAAAAAAGGATGTGTCGTGATCACCACCTGGCAAATAAATGCGTGGGCAGTGCAAAAAATGGTTCCTTGTACAGCACCAATTGTTGGAACAGTCAGTTAGGGAGTCCACCCCTTCCAAAGCGCAATGTTGTTGTGGCACAGATTGCCAGGATTGCCAAGTTGCCACAGGGCCAGTCAGCGCTCGGGAGCCCACCCCGCAGTTTGTGGCACTGTTGTAGGGGTCGAAGATGCAATAGTGTGTCTGACAGGAGAAAAAGGTACCCCCAAAATGATTAGAAAAAGCGCTATGATCTTGCAGTGGTCTGTCCAAAGGGGACCAGGCAAGGCCAGTCAGTGTGAAGGAGCCTACCCCAGTGGCCTGATCCCCAGTCGCCCAAAAACAAAAGGTCAAGGCAATCACAATGGTTGAAATGATATTGGGCAGCGCGGTCGTGTTGGTCAGAAGATTGTTGACTCCAGGATTCCCAGAGCCCAAAATCGAATATTGAAAATCAAATGAAATGGGGCAGCAGCACAGCAACGAATCAAAAGGGAAATGGCACAGAGTGAACGGCTGGAAAACAGGCTGCGGCGTCGCTAGTGACGCTTTCGAGTGCGGCACTCGCGGCCGCAAAGGAGCTTGTGTGTGTGTGTGTCTGTGTGTCTGTGTGTCTGTGTGTCTGTGTGTCTGTGTGTCTGTGTGTCTGTGTGTCTGTGTGTGTGTGTTTTTTACTACCCCTTAACCCAATCCTCTGAGTCAGCAGGCGAGCTCGCACATGCATTTGTATGCATGGCCATGGGGGCACCAACATTTCGACGTCCGGTTGGGCTGCCATGGTCTTAGTCAAACCCTCATCCCTAAGGATACCAAAAGAAAATGGATCATTCCAAAAATCGACAGGTAGTTGTTAGTCGACAGGAAATCCAATGGAAAATTGAAACAAAAGTACAGGGAGAAATGAAATGGTGAGAACTCTCAGCCGCAGCCGCCACCGCGAGAACTGCAATCAATGCCCAGCGCAGCAGCATGCTAAAGAAAGCCGCAGCAGCAAAAGAGCAGGAAGCCAGCGCTGCCGCAAAGTGCAGGGGCAAGTACACATACTGGATGAGCACTGCTAGCCACCAGCCAAAAGAGCCCCACCATTTCCACGAGGTGGTAGTTCACCCCTCCGCAGTGTCCTGTCGGTATGCGGTGTCGGGAGAATCAACCAGTACATCACAGCATTCCGCAAAACGAAATCAGGTAGGTCGAAGGTCTTTGATGGAACTTGATTGTCATCACACAGAAGCCACTGACCCTGGTATCGCAAAGCAGTTCTGTAATGACCAGCTGAATAGTCTGGACCAAGATGAAAAATGATTGCACATATGTGATACCGCCACATGCTGATGGAACTTGTGGAATCTGCAAAGCATGGAAAGTCAATGCCATCTGTCGGAATGTCAACTCTCTGTGTGCACTTCAGAGGATCTGTTGGATCCGGGGTGCTGATGGGCCTATCCAGCATCAAAATGAGTTGCCGGGCCTCTGTAGTTGCTCTGCAAAGGCCTTGGGGGTCATGCCATGCATTTATCAATGTTTGAAGGCAACTGTGATCATCTTTGTAATTGACATATGGCAAATGAATTGGAGTGTATCTGCAGCCCTTTTCGTTTTGCAACACGTCGTCGCCTTCAGCAGCCATGAAGCAAGGCTTGGTGACCCATTCACAATACAAAAACCCTGGACAAAGAAAATTCAACAGGTCTGTCGCAAATTCTCGCACGTCCTGCTGTTTCTTCAGGGCTTGCATTGATAAAACCCCTTCCCCAATCATCAACCACCTGAATGGTGGAAAGTTGTAAAGATCCAACGGAGCCGGACTCATCGCCGTCACATTTCGAAGCAACTCAAAACCACAATGCCAAAAGTGCCCGTGCAACCCCTCAGCAAGGAGTGTCATCCATGCAAGGCTAGTGATCACTGTGTTCACGAAGCACATCGTTCCTGTCGGGTTGGACAGGATGCGCACCAGTCTCACTTCTGAAGCATTTTGCCCAATTGTTGAGCCAGCGGCTGTCTCTGAAGGCTTTGTGGCTTGAGGTTGGCAAGTATGAGTCGCCAAATGCTGTGATAACACAGATTGGCTATCTCGTTCCACAGCTCCGGAGTGTGACGCATGCTCACCGTCCATAGCCAAGGTATTGGCTGAGAAGATGGTGAGGAATCCGGGGTTCTCTTGAGTGCATGATATCGAAGCGTGACCTCTTTGTCCCCCATCAATCGGAGGATATTGGTCAGGGATCTCTGGACCTGTTCCAGTGGTAGATGCGGAGCGTTGCTGGGTGTCAGTCGGGATTGACTCGCATCCCAACGCAGGTACGGCATTGTCTTCTCCTTGGTGATCAAATTCTGCTGGATACACGCTTGAAAGAGATCTGAAGCCGTGTCCGCGTTGGCTAACTTGGTGAGGCGCTCCTCCAAGACCATCATCATCGAGACCGCCAATGTGTGGCGCAGGGGGATAGTTTTCGGTCCCTTGTGCCACTCCTGGCTCTTCATCAACAAGAGTGGAAGCAGAGAACCTTCCCCTGGCGCAAGATGAAGCACGAACTCCGACTCTTGTAGGAGAGTATTTAAGGTGTCTTCGTGTTTCAATACCAGTTTGGCCATGTTGATCATCAGGTCTTTTGGCACCGACATCATTTCCGAGGCTGGCTTGCTGGCAGGCTTGCTCCTGCCTTTGTTGTCCGCCTTGTCCCCTTTGTGCCTCTTGTTCGATGTCTGTTGATTGCTCTCGGTGATGCCTAGGCCCTTCAATTGAGCCTCTGTCAACAGATTGCCCCAGATTTTGACCATAGAGTCCTGATCCTCCATAGCGTCGGAGACCCTGTCCGTTGATCAAAAAGATTGCCAAGTTGAGCAAGGGAATGCATGTGCTGGAGTGTTCATTTTGACCGCAAAATTGACATGGAGTCAAACAGGTCTGTTCCAGTCTATGTAGACACATCAGAGTTTTGGTTTGCATGGTGTTGTGCTCAGTATGAAGGTGTCTGGCAAAGACTGTCGGAATGAAAAAGCTTTGGGCACAAATGAGACACCGATACATCAGGCCATCTGCAATCCATGCATCTTGCGCAAAATCTAATCCAGATTTGGCAATGATGTCAAGTGACATGCCATATGTGTCTGAGGGGTCTGCATTGTGCTGCCAGATGCGCAGCTCCAGCAAGCGATGATTCTCTGCAATGTCTTCCTGGCGTGGCCATGTATGAAGAGGTAGCATTGGTTTGGACCAACGTGGCATCATCAACAAGAGGGCCATTTGTGTCATCATTGGGCAGGACTTCAGGTGCTCTTCAGGGTCATACTGCAGCTCATCATCTGTGAAATAGCTAGGCATCAGTTCCCGGCACCATTCGCAGTGAGCCCCCTCCATCATGAGATTGGCGTATACCTGGCAAAGCTGTTGAACCATGTACCAAACACGCTCAGGTTCCACTTGATGGAAAACTCGAAGATGTGCATGAATGCATTGTAAGTCCACAGCTTCTTGGCACAACAGACACCTGGTCGCCAGAGTCCTGAGCAGAATCGGGTCTTGCCATATCCAGTAAAATTGACGTGACATCAAGGCAAGTCCAACTCTTTGCACTGAAGGCAGTGGCATCATGTCGGACAACAAGTGCACGACGTCAGTGGAGTTGAAGGCCCATGGGACCACGATTTGCATCCTGAGTTCATGGATGACTAAGGCCAGCTGTATCAGCCCTGTGCACTCGTGAGCTGCAGTGCCCCAGCCATGGCTGGGGTTACAAAAGCACCCCAGATCTCCAAACAGAGTCCAGACCAAAAGCTCACGCAGCGTCTGGACCTCCTGAAGATGGTCACTGTGAGCTGCGTGAAGGTGCAATCGTAAGGCTTCAGCATTTTCGCAAGCCAATCCACAAACCTGACAGATGGTGGACAGCTGATACTTCAGATGTGACATCTTGTATAGAGCTTGCACATGACCCAATCTGGTCAGCGGCTCGATGTAGTCCTCAGGACTGAGAAGTTGATCAGGCGGCAGCGCAACCACTTGTGGCATCTGCTGTCTCTCGAAGGACAGCCTCAGAAGAGCAAATTGGATGTAGAAGACACAGATGTGCTTGATGTGTGAGGTCGGGTGACATACACATCCATGATGTGGTTTATACCGCTCATCCATGATCATAGCTCTGCGTTCTGCTTCGTGCCATTCTGAAGGATGGTTTGCTCGAAAATGGCGTTTGAGCTCATTTTTGCGATTGAATGTTTTCCGACAGCTGAGGCACGTGTTGGCCAAGAAGTGCTGGATCGATGGGTTGCCGAGTAGGTCCTCGGCCTCCTCTGTCTGCACAGCCTGATGAACGAGGCAGTACATTTCCACTTCTTCAGGTTTGAAGTGCTCACAGGCCTGTTCAGCCATATGGTAGACATTGACGTGGCTTTGAAGTCCATGCCGTGTCGTATACACCTTCTGGCAGTAAGGACAGGTCAGGGAGGTTGCATCTTCACTGACTTGCATGTCAATGCCATGCTGAACCATCAAAAGTGCCACTTGACGAATGATGTGACACCGATGTGTTCGTTTGAAACAGGCACCACAAAATTGACAAGGATTGGTTTCAATGCAGGCTTGAAGAAGAGCTGTATTGAATGGCTCATGTTGTCGAAATTCCCGATCATGTTCCATCTTCCAGTGTTGCAGAAGCCCAGTGGTGGTGGTACAAAAGGTGTTGCACAGTGCACATCTCGTATAGAAGTATGCTAGCAGTTGAGCGTTGTTCGCCAACGCCTGTAGCTGGTGACTTCGCGCCACTTGTAGCAGCTCCTGGATGCGCAGCCTGTGTTCCACCTGTTCCAGATCCTGTCGATCAGCTGTGCAAACAAAGGTGATGTGATATTGCAATGATTGTTTGGTTGTGAATCTGGTGTTACAATGTGCACATGTCGGAACGCCCCCTCGAAAATCTGTGGGTTGAGGAGCATGTAGGGGTCCTGATCTATCGCCATGATCCAGGGTCAGATGACGCCTCAATGCCGCAAGGGTGGCGTAGATTTGAAAGCATCTTGGACATACATGTGGTGATTCCGGCACCTCTTCACGAGAAGAACCACGACGATGCCACACCTCCCAAATGAGAGAAGATTGCACTGCAAAATCTTTGGCTGGTGTCAGTAAGATCACGTCATGGGGATCCAAGCAATGTCTCTTCTGAGAGTCACGCTGCTCAGTGGCGCTGTTCAATTCCGACAAAAGCAGCAGCGGGTCTTCTGCACCATATGCCCGTAGAAAGGCCACACGGGAGAGATGAGTCAAATGTACTGGATTCCTGAATATACGTCTAAGCTGTTTCATGCACGCAATGTCAAAAGCTTGAAGGGATTGCTGGGTGAATCCCACAATGATCAAGCTGTGCAAAAGGCTGGCAAAGATACATTGTTTCCAAATACGTAATTTGAGTGAAATTGGTACACTTGATCTGACATAAACCCAACGATGTAGTTGTTGGCCAACTTTTTCACTGGCCCTGATCCGAGCATCCATTGTGAGGCGTTCAAATGAGTGGTAGCTGACCGTGGCTCCCAGATACTGAAAGTGCCGCACCAACTTGATGTGTGTTTCTCCATGGTTTTGTCTTGGGATCCTAAGGAAAATTCCTTCTGATGTCCTCTTGAGATATTTTCTGTTGAGTCGCTTTGTCAGTGGTCCCACCATGCGTAACACTGCAACCGTTTTGCTCACGTTCACTTTCATATTGAAGCTCTCAATGGTGTCCAGTGCAATACCAATGAATTTGATCGCTCTGTGAAAATCAGCCTCACTCTCCAAGACCTGATGAAATGTACCATCGTCAGCAAACAAAGTGACGCATGCAAGTACCCAGTCAAAAGAAATCCGATGAGCAATGGCACGTAACATCATCACTGAGAAAACTGCCCATAATGTCGGTGCAGCTCTGCACCCCTGACGGATTCCACGACGGGTTTCAAAGCTGCGTGACTCTCCCTTGTGCTGAAATTGAAAAGCAGTATGTTGATATATGGCCTTGAGTAGTTCAATGAGATCACAAGGGATGTTGAATTGGTTCAGACCTTCCAGCAGTTGGCATCTGTTGACCATGTCAAAAGCTTTGGTCAAGTCGAGGCTTATGGTCAGGCCTCCACATAGATGCAAACGTTCCAGCCCCTGAGCCTGCATGTGGACACGAAATTGATATGTGTCAATGAGATCCCTTACTCTCCGACAATGCTGAAGGATTCTGTGAAGAGCCTCGTCTACACCTCTGGCTGGAAGATATGCAAACTGCGGCCATCGTTGAAGTTCCTGCCAAGTGTGAGCCAAGATTTGTGATGCGCACATGCCCATGACTGATTTACCGCATGGTTCCAACAACGATATGGGACGTAGTTCAGAGGGTGTTTGTGTCCTCTTTTTGGTCTTCGGCAAGAAGACCAAGGTTCCATCACTCCAGCACTGAGGAAACCTGGCATTGGAGCTCCATTCATGTAGGGCAGGATCCAAATAAGTGGAGACCTGTTGAGCTGTCAGTTTCCAAAATGGTGATGGCACATACTCCGGGGCAAGTGCCTTCCGTAGAGGCAGGGATCGCAGTCCTTCACAAAATTCTGAACTGGTGAATGGCCAGTTGAAGGGAAGAGCAGGTGGTGATTCAGTGTCCTGGTAGAGCTCGGTAAACCACTGAGCCAAAAGATCAGCTTCCTGTCCAGGTGTCATGATATTGCCATCTGATGATCTGATTTGCAACCGACAGAATTGTTGTTTGGGTGCAAGTTGTCTGATCGCCTGATAGAGCCGGAAGTGGTCTCGAGCTTGACTGGCTTCACCTGCAACTTGATAGACACGTTCCAGCCGTCGTTTTCTAGCCATATAGTAGCAGATGTGATCTTCATCTGAGTTCTGGCCCTGCATTTCTGAATGACATGTCCCCAAGCCTGAAAAAGATGTTGTAGGGATTGTCCACGTAGCGCTCGGAGAGCATGATGATGTGCCTGGAATCGTTGAAAAGGGGTTAAATCATAGCAATGCGTTGGCGTAGTAGTTGATCGTTGTCGTTCTGGTTGAAAGGCATTGAGAGATTCATGAAGTGTAGCCATGGGGTTGTTTGTCAACGGGAGGTTGTTCACTGTCTGTATCACTTGATGTTGAAATTGTGCAACACGATCATTTGGAGCTTGCCATTGTCTGCAAAGTTCAAGCCTCTGTGATCGTGTCCATCCATATGCACCAGCATGTCGTCCTTGATGCCAGACCTTCAGAACAGAGCACAATTGTGGGATGTGTGATGCTCCTTGCTGGCAAACCAGGGGAAAATCTGCGAGGTATTGAATCTGTTTCGATGTACTGTCTGAGAAATGCCGTCTGACACAAATGAAATCGATTCTGGAATGTTGATGTCCAAATTGATACGTAGGACCCAGGCTGAAATTCCAGGTGTTCAGTGTGGTCAGTGCGTGCACCGTCAGCAGATTTTGAAACAAATGTTGATCCCCGTGCATAGTTCCCTTGCAGCGCTCTCCCTGATGTAGATACGTCGAAATGCCTACAGCATCAGATTGTCTCGTCAGTGACGTGTTGAAGTCACCAAGCATGATCAAATTATGGCGTTGTGATAGCTGGCCAAGAAGTGTGGAAAGACGTGTCCAGATCTCTTGGCGTTGGTCTATTCTGTTCGGATGAAAAATGTGTTGATACACTGAAACCAGGTCAATATGTCGTGTTGATCCATGAATTCTCATATGAACCAACCGTCCTGGCACAATTTCATTCCAAGAAAGTTCATGTTGTGAACATAATTTGCGGGAAACCATGCAAAGCAATCCAGAGTGAGATGAGCCTTCTCCACTGTGAAGAATATGGTAACCAGCGCTTTGCCACTCCGAAGTGAAAGGCCAGTGTGTCTCTTGGATGCATATGAAATCGATGTCCTGCAAGTCAGCCCACTGTTGTAGATAGTCCCATGCCGAAGGTGATAAACCCCCAGCGTTCCATGAGAATACCGTCAGTCTTTTCCTTTTGTTGGCAGCTTTCGATTGAACATTGGGACTTGGAGATGTGTCCACTGAAAAACCAGTGAAATGTGTACCCAACATCGATGATGTACATAATTTCCCTTTGTACCATGTGTAACCATGAATGGCAGCTCTCTTCTGTGCTCTGCGGAAACTTCTTTTGTACGTACAATTGTTTCGTTTGAGGGTTTGACTTGGTTCTAAAACCTCATTGAGCTCCTCGACATGTGGTTTCACCGACACAAAGTCAGTTTCCCCGTCATTCATGTCCATGACGGAACCCTCACCCCACTTTGGACTCCACCAAGAAATGTCGTTGATGTAGATCAGCAAAAATATCAAAAAGTTTGCATACATATCCAAAGCCCGGAATTGGGACCGGGGTGCGAAAGGAGCGCCAGTCAAGGATCGCGTGGTACCCTTGTCAAATCAAATCGCTAAGAATCACCAATCAAGGGAAACTTTATCCAGCAGGAAAGGTGAAGCCCAGGAAAATGAAAATGGCAATAAATGGAGTCGATGCCCAAATACCACACAGTCCAGATGTCAATTGTAGCCACCCTGAGTGATGCTAGGTCCAGTCAGAAGAGGGAGACCACCCCAAAGAAGACGAGCTTAACAATGAGGAGGTAAATCACCAAGCACAGGACCTGCTCAGGGTCAGAAAGCGCTTGCGCGTCAGCAGCCGCGGCAGCAAGATCTGCTAGCAGCAGCGCCACAGCAACGCACCTCGCCACTTCGAGGCCACCACGCCACCGCCAAAGCACCCAGAAGAGAAAACGTGCGTGGGGCAATGGCAGCGGCTGACACCTAGGATCGAAGATCCTTGAACGCGGCACTCGCGGCCGCACAGGGGCTTGTGTGTGTGTGTGTTTGTTTTTTTGTTTTTTTGTTTTTTTCCAACACACCTTTTCTGCTAAGCTTCAAAGGTCCGTGCCAGCCTTCAACGAAAATTGTAATCGTCGGTTCCCTCATGGAATCTTAAGGCCACGTGAGACAATGGAGAAAATAAAAAGGTGAGAAAGGATCCCATCAGCAAATTGGAAAAATGTTTCACCTCATTGGTCACTTTCGGTCTGATGCTCCATGTTGAGCCTGTAGCAAATGCAGCAATTCTGAATCTGGAATTTCGTCGCCCTGAGTCTTGCATTCTTCAGGCAGCGATGCAGAATCCTGAGATGTTTCAAGCATGAGAGTGTCCAGAGCAGGCTTTGCATACACTTGCATACGAAGATGGTCTGTGCGTACCATCCAAATCACTGTGGCATTCTGTGCAAACCAGGTGGGAGTACGCCAAGTCGGTTTTGGTTTCTGCCCATCTTCCGTCTCCAGAAATGCCGCCGGTCGCGTCTCTGAAATCATGGTCGGTTGAATTTTCAAAAGTGCTCGACAATGCCCCGCCAAATCCATACCCATGTGGGCCGTGCCAGCTACTGGGATATACCCTATGTGATCATACTTCAGGCTGTGATTCAAGAAGATTGGCATGTTGACCTCTGTCTCCATGTCAATGCAACACATGCTGCGTCCAATGTCACCTGCCTCAGCCTGATGGTGCCTGTCGATGGCCAGGCAAAGGCAGACAGGGGCAGCCAACAGGGCTGCGCGCATCGATTGCTCCTGAGACCAGGTTGAAATCAAATCATTGAGGGTACATTTTCCAGCAGCATGCATCGTGTGAGTGATGGTCAACATCAGTGGGGTGCAAGCAATACTGGTGTCCATGATCATGATTCCGTCTGCTGTGTCCAGCCGCCTTTCCCAACGCATGTCAAACGCTTCAGATTGAAGCCAAGTCAGAAAATGTTGTGCGCATTCTGCACTGTCCTTCTGACCCTGGCTGGGTCCCCAGTTGCACAAAATGTCTCTAAACCAACTGTTGTCTGCCAGCGTAGCCGGTGAATTGGCATGCCGTTTCAGAAAATCAGTCAGAGGAACATGATGTGGCTCCCAATGTCGGAGCTCGGTGTGCTCCAGATTCAAAAGCGTCCAAACCAGGCAGTAGAAACAACTGTTGGCATAGCACCAATTGCTGTCATTGCAAAGCGCCAGTCCAAACAAGCACTGAGCCAAGCTCCTTGCGCAATCAACCTCTGTTCCAGTGGTCAAGCTGCATGTTGAGGAGGAGGTTGGGTCTTGTTCCGTCCTTTGCCTCTGCCCTTGGATTTGCCCATCAGGTTTTGCAGCGTCGTTGCCATCGGTGATTGTGACAAGCTGTGCTGCTTCATTGTCGCTCCCACTGCCATCCAGACTGAGTTGTGGCACAGCTGATACAGCAAGTCGTAGGCCCTGTCGCTCCGTAGGTTGATCTGAAGTCTCCATGGAACCGCCTTGGTGTTCTGGTCCGACGGAGCCCGAAGAGCATGGAATCGGACAATCATCTCCTTGTCCAACATCATTTCCTGAAGCTCCGTCAAATGTTGGAACATCTTCTGCGCACTGATCGGATGTTTCTTGTCGATCACCAGCTGCGTGCCATCCCAGCGGTGGAATGGAAAGCTCCTGTCGGCCAGAATCAACCCCTTCTGCACTGAGGTCTGATACAACTGGTCTGTGTCCTTGCTCTCCACTATCTTGCCCGCATTGGTGCTGAGAGCCTTCAGCAAGGCCAACACCAAGTGTTGTCTCAGAGGTTGCAGCAGCATGTTGGATTTGCTCTCCATCTGCTTTTTCCACATGGCCGATTCCTGGATCAGGAGATGAAGTGCACCTGTTGGATCTGGATTCAAAAAAAGAATGAATTGATCTGTGCGGCGCAGACTGTTCATTTCTTGATCGTGTCGTACTATGAGTTGAGCCATGGTGGTGAGCAGTTGCAGAGCTTTGCCCGTGGGTTTCTCCTGCTGCTGCATGGTCTCTGCTGCGTCTGGGTTGTTTGGCCCTCCTCTGCGTGGCGCCTTTGTCTTTCTGGGATTGGGAGCCAGTCTGAGGCTCTGATCCAACAGGGGTGCCAACTCCTTGAAGGTCTCCATCATCTGTGCCGAGATGGTCGAGTCGGAATCCTCCATTGACGCATCCATGTTGGAGCTGTCCACAGTTCAACAGTGATCCCAGCAGCAAGGAGATCTGGATCAGCACCGGGCAGGAGCTACGCAAATGTGAGAGGGCTAACAGCACTCGATCCGACAAATGTTCATCTGGGCGCATGTTTGCAGGCAGATTAAAGATCAAACTGCACAGGCTGCATTGGTAATCATCTTGATTGAGTGCATGCAGATGCGGTGCCAATTGTTCCATGTAAAACTGAAACATGGGGTTGCCACACGGGTGCTCCTCCCGCAAGTGAAGTGCCAGTTCAGCAGGCAATGGGCATGAACCACAGCAAATGCATTGGCGTCGAAGGAGTGCCAAAATTTCAGGGTCCTGCCAAAGAGCTTCAAATTGTCTGTGAACCAAAACCTGCTCCAGTCGATACTTGTCAGCACGACTCAACTGATCAGAAAGAATGTCCTGCAAGACCTGCTCAGTGATCACTGTGGGAGCAAAAGGTTCTCGTTGCAACCTGTGAAAACACATGGCCAGTTGACGCAAAGGCATGCAAACATGATGTCCACGCTTGACCCCCAGAGATGGGTTGCAGCAGCATTGTTGTTGTGAAAAAGCTTCAGTCAGCACCATGGTCAAACGTCGTGATTTTCTCCACAGCCTGGCATGAGCCGATTGGAGGTGGAGTGCCAGGTCGGCTGACCTGCTGCAGCCCTTGCCACAAGCCTGGCAAACCACAGTCAATCTCATTCGAGTGGCTGCAGGGCGCAAAACTTCCAAGCATTTGCCATCCAAACAAGCTTCAACCCAGGGAGCCTCCACCTCTTTGGTTTCTGCCGATGCTTGGGGATTGAAGTGTTGGCAGCGGCCCTGCACTATGTGGGACTTCAAGCCCCCTTTCGTGAGAAACAGTTG